TATGTGTGTAGGTTGAAAGGGTAATGATGCACAATTGCTCTGCTGAAGAAAAAATTGCAAGATGGAAGGCTACACAGAGCAAGAAGCTGCTGTGGGCACCGGTGTAGAACAAGAATGTAGAAAGTCAAGACTCACAGTTTCTAAATATCTCTCATATATTGATTCAATGTAATAATCTTACAGTATGCAGCAGTGTATATATAGACAGTACACTGCTCTAATTACAATTATATCCTTGTCTAATCTATCTATTTACATAAGAAACTTAACACACATCTAACTAATTTTACTTGACTCTTTACACCCCCTCAAGCTGAACTTGGAGGCATCGAAAGGTCCAAGAGCAAGCTTGGATTGCAAATACAGAAATCTGGATTTAGACAGAGATTTAGTATGAATATCAGCTAACTGAACATGAGAACACACATACTGGACTTTGAGAAGATTAGCAAGGACCAACTCTCGGATATAATGGTAATCAAGTTCAATATGTTTGGTTCGAGCATGAAAGACTGGATTAGACGCAAGAGAGATGGCAGACAGATTGTCACACCAGAGAGAAGGGACTTGAGGAAGATGAAGGCCAAGATCTTTGAACACTTTACAAATCCATGTGATTTCAGCAGCGGTGTGCGCTAACGATCTGTATTCGGCTTCAGTTGATGAACGAGCAACCGTAGGTTGCTTCTTAGCACTCCAGCTAATAAGATTGGATCCCAGAAATATGCAATAGCCACTAGTAGATCGGCGATCAAAAGGGCAACCAGCCCAATCAGCATCAGAATAGGCAGTAAGATGAACAGTCCCTTTCTTGAACCACAAACCATGACTCACAGTGGCTTTAAGGAATCGGAGAATACGTTTGGCGGCTTGAAGATGGGGTTCTCGGGGAGCATGCATAAATTGACAGACTTGATTGACAGCAAAAGATAAATCAGGTCGTGTCCAAGTTAGGTATTGCAATGCACCGACAATAGATCTGTATTCTGTGGGATCATGCAACAATGGACCGGTGTGATCAAGTTTATGAGAGCCAAGAGGAGTGAGACATGGCTTAGCACCAGCCATGCGGGTCTTGTGAAGTAAGTCAGAAATATACTTGCTTTGATGTAAGAAAAGACCATCAGCAGATCGCTGAACCTCAAGACCCAAAAAATAATGCAAGGGGCCTAAATCCTTCACAGGGAAAACAGTACTGAGTTTCTGAATGAAACGTTGACAAGCTGCAGTATTAGGACCTGTGACAAGTATGTCATCAACATACACCAAGACAATAACAGGAACACCGTCTTGGAGCACAAATAAAGAAGCATCAGATTGAGATTGATGGAAGCCCAAGGACTTAAGGACTGCAAATAATTTTTCAAACCAGGCCCGAGGGGCTTGCTTCAAGCCATACAAGGATTTGCGAAGCTTGCAGACATGATGGGGATAAGTGGGATCACTGAATCCAGGAGGTTGCTGCATGTAGACATCTTCTTGAAGGTCACCGTGCAGAAAAGCATTACTGATATCCAATTGATTGAGAAACCAGTCATGTTGAACTGCAAGAGAGAGAAGAATGCGAATGGTGATTGGTTTTGCAACAGGACTGAATGTTTCCTTGTAATCCAAACCAGCTTGCTGATGAAATCCTTTGGCCACAAGCCGAGCTTTGTATCGATCTATAGTGCCATCAGGATGTTTCTTGACCCGAAACACCCACTTACATCCAACAATATTTTGTTGGGAGGTAAAAGGAGCGAGAGACCAAGTGCCAGTGGACTGCAGGGCATTGATTTCATCCTGCATAGCAGACCGCCAATGGATATGTTTAGAGGCCTGAAGATAAGTAGTGGGGATAATATCAACCGTATCAGGTAAAGGGTGTTTGGTGGCTGAGTAGGCCTTGGGTTTAGAGATACCAGCTTTAGACCTAGTGATCATAGGATGGGTATTAGGGACGGAAGAAGGCTCATGAGTAACAGGAAGATCCTCTGGAGGTACCGAAACATCAACAGGTACTGGAAGATTTACTTGAGGTACTGGAACATCACCAGGTGCAGGAAGATGCACTTGAGGGACTGTAGAGGAACCAGATTGAGCAGCAGGTATGGTAAATTGTAAATTGACAGAGGAATTCACTGGAGAAGGATCAGTAAGAACAGGAGATGCACCAGGAAAGGCAGAAGATAAACTCTGAAATGGAAAGGTAGTCTCATCAAAAAGGACATGCCGAGAGATATAGACACGTTGTGTGACTGGATCAAGACAACGATACCCCTTGTGTTGAAGACTATACCCAAGGAAAACACAGGATGTACTTCTGCTGGCCAACTTGGACGTAGTATAAGGTCTGAGCCATGGATAACAACAACAACCAAAAATTCTGAGCCGAGAATAATCTGGAGAAGTGCCGAAGAGAAGTTCCCAAGGGGATTGCAGTACACCACCAAGGGGAAGTCGATTAATCAGATAAGTAGCAGTGGAAAAGGCTTCAACCCAAAACCTATGAGGCACTTGAGATTGCACCAAGAGTGTACGAGCAGTTTCAACCAAATGACGATGTTTCCGTTCAACACATCCATTCTGCTGAGGAGTATGAGGACAACTAAATTGTTGGAAAATGCCATGAAGTTTAAGAAAATGCTGAAATTGGTGACTAGTAAACTCACCCCCTGAATCAGAGCGAACAACCTTTATTTATTACCAATAGCGTTCTCTACATAGGACTTGAAGTCCACAAAGATTGAAAATACAGAGGACTTGGACTTTAAAGGAAAATACCAGCTATACTTGCTGTAATCATCAACAATAAGCAAGTAATATCTATAGCCACTCACTGATACAACAGGAGATGGGCCCCAGACATCACAGTGCAACAGTTCTAGACTTGCAGTAGATACAGATTGAGGAGAACCAAAAGGAAGCTTGTGATTCTTTGCTAAAGCACAGTCTTTGCAGAAGAAGGCCAGAGAGGATGTGCCATGGACAACAACTTTATTGGTAGACAAAACTTTACGAAAAATAGCAGAAGATGGATGACCAAGTCTGCTGTGCCATATGCGAACATTAGCAGCAGTACTTACAAGGGCAGTAGGAGAATGAGAGACAGTGGAGAGAGCAGGTGAACCATGAAGCGGAAAGAATCCATCTTTAACTTGGCCCCGCAAAAGCGTCCTCCCCGTAAAACGATCCTTGACAGAGGATCCATTAATATCAAGAGTCAAAGAACAATTATTATCTTTAATAAACTGATAAGCAGAGAGAAGACTATGCTGCATTTGAGGCACATGAAGAACATTGTGCAGTTTAAAAGAGTGAGCAGGAGTATGTAAAATAGATGTGCCAATATGATCTATAGACAGACCTTTACCATCTCCGATGTACACCTTGTCTTCACCATGATAGGGAGTAGGAGATTGGATATTGGATATATCATTCGTAATGTGAGAGGTAGCACCCGAGTCGATGAGCCAAGAATTGGAGGACTTTGCAGTATAATGAGCACACATGGCAGCAAGTTTAGCTGGAGAAAACTTGCCTGAGATTTCTGGATTCATTCGGTCGAAGCAATCAAGAGCTTCATGACTGGTAGAACCACAAATTTGACAAGAAGTTTTGTGACCGGAAGAAGAAGCAGGACGATTGAATCCAGAATTATAAGATCCTCGATTGAAACCAGAGTTGAAATTACCACGATTGGAACCACGATTGTAGTTGCGATTAGAACCACGGGAAAATCCTCGGTTAGAGCCACGAGTGTAGCTTCTGGTAGAATTATACCGAAAAGAATTCTGAAGTGGTGATGCGCCAGGATTTGGAGCAACCAGAGCGTGTGGTGGTGGTGTAGGAAGGAGAGGCGCTTGGCTTTGCACAGAGAAAGCATGAAAAGGCTCAGAAGAAGAAGATTTCTTGCGACGCTCCATGGATAACTCCTTAGTGAGCAACAAGCCATGTAATTCATCCAACGAGGTAGAAGAAAGACGAAGTAAGATAGAATCAGTGAAAGATTCAAAATCATCAGTGAGACCGGCAAGAGTCGCAGCAATGAGATCACGATCGGTGACAGAGGCACCAGCGGCAGTGAGAGAATCTGAGATCTCCTTGATTTGTTGAAGATAGTCAGCCATGGATTGAGAGCCTTTCTGAATATTTTGAAGCTTCGAACGCAATTGATGAATGTGTGCATCCGAGACACCACCAAAACGCTGCTCAAGTTTGAGCCAGAGATCACGAGCAGAGGAAACACCGACGGTGAACGGAATGATTTCCTCAGAAAGCGTCGAATTGAACCAGATAAGCAGATTCTGATCTTTCTCATACCATTGCTCAAAATGTGGATTGATTGAGCGATCTGGAAGAAAGGGAGAGGGACAGGGCTCAGTGCCATCAACAATCCCTAGAAGCTTGTAGCGACGAAGAATCGGAGCAAACAAGGCCCGCCACGGCAGATAATTGGATCGCCGGAGCTTGATCGGAACCATACTGCCAATGTTCTGAATCGTGAGAGAATGATACATCTGAGAGGTATTGAGATTTGGGGAAGAAGAATTAGGGTTTGAAGGAGGCACCGACTCAATTGGAGAAGAAGAATCAGAGGGAGACGCCATCAAGATGCAAGAAAAAGAAATCAAGAATCTGAATCAGACGCAAACAATCACGTCGGAGAAGACGATCAGAGAGGAGCGGAAGATCGAAGAAGAAAATTGCAGGATCGAAGAGAGGCCGTGAGGCGGTTTGGCGATGGTACCATGTAGAAAGTCAAGACTCACAGTTTCTAAATATCTCTCATATATTGATTCAATGTAATAATCTTACAGTATGCAGCAGTGTATATATAGACAGTACACTGCTCTAATTACAATTATATCCTTGTCTAATCTATCTATTTACATAAGAAACTTAACACACATCTAACTAATTTTACTTGACTCTTTAAAGAATATGTGGCACAGGTAATTTTGCAAGCTTGGCATGAATCTACTGATTAAAACAAAACCAAAATTTGGGCTTCTTAGGAAACTCATACGCATTCAATTTTCAAAATGAAGAATTGGGCTTGAAGTCAGATTTCGTTGTATGAACTTTTGATTTGGTAGATTTTCTTAACGGATTTGATCAGAGTTGTGAACTTGGTAAATTTATGTTGTTGATAGAATGCCTACGACTTTTCATGGTTATCATTCCTTTAATAACTCATGTGAAGATATATGGTTATTTGATCGAAATTAATAGGTGAATATCTTTGTTCTGCAACTTTTCCTTTTAGCTGGATTGAACAATTCGTTCGCAGCATGCTATCGTGATTTGTCTATCCTTTGGTATGAAGCTGAAAGTTGCAGTGCCTTTATCCTTTTGATTCACTCACTGTAAGCCTACTTAGCTCCCGCTGAAGCCCTTCAAGTCAAGCTATCTACAGCTCGAAGTTTACTTTTATTTTTAGAAATGTTTATTCATTTTTATTATTTTCAGCTGAAATCAATAGAAATGAACTTCAATTTGATGATGGAATGCATGGAAAATGTGGGGGAGAGCCTTCTCTCGCTCTCAAATCCGGCGAATCACGTCGCACCACCAGCGTTCCCCCGCTTTACTGAAGGTAAGCGATTCATCCTACTCGAAATTTCAAAAATTTGGAGGGTTTTGGTTCCTTTTCAATACCAATTAGATAATCAATCTGTACGAATGGATTTGATAGATTGAAGCACTGTGGACCTGATTGGAGTGTCTTTACTTACTTAGGAAATTCAAGAAATTAAGAAACAGCTGGATGAATATCTTTTTGTATTATATTATTGTTCTCATAACGATTTTGGGTTCAACCACGTGGCGCCCAGAAGTTTGTCTTGGTGATTAGAAATGCCATTGGCGGCCTACCCGCTTTCCTTTTTGCTTAATTTATCTTAAGAATGTTTGCATCCTAATACATCCTTTAAATATGTTAATTTGTCCTATTTTCTATAAAATTTTGAGCAATGTGAATGTGGGTTATTCTCAATCTTCAGATGGTGATCATTTCACAAGTTTTGCAAACATGGCTACTCAGCCTTTGACATACAGAGTTGATGATGGGAGGAGCCAGGTGAGCTAGGATCGGGGTTTGTATCGTTCTAAATTATTCGTTAAGTTACGGAAAAAAGATATGGTTGTCCAGTCTAGTTTTGTATTTTCAACATCTTAAACATTTTCCTTTGATACCGCTTCGTTTTGATTTGTAAACAAACTATATCTTTATCTTGGGTCACAATGTGATGTTTAACAATTTTTCAAAAACTTACAATTCCTATCACATGCTCAAATATTATGTCTTCTACTTTTCTGTTTTCCTTTTTTTGTGTTTTTCCCCATGCAGTAAGCTGATCATCTGAAACTATGAGTATAATACTAATGACAAAATACAATCTACAAATGAATGCTTTCTATAGCATCATTCTCTTCTATTCGAAACTTATTTAAATTCACTTAATTTTTTCTCACACTTAATATCATATCAGCTCGGTTTACACAAGAAAGTAGAAGATACATTATCTGTGGCATGCTATGTACATGTCGTATTTTGCATAGAACAATAAATCCGTTCGTTTCATTGTCTTCCATATGACAATGCTACTTATCTCAATATAAGAAAAGAGAAGTATAATATTCCATTTTATGCAAAGAATTTGTTGTACGCTTCCAAGAATATAAAACACCAATATAGGTTCATTAGGGTCACTCAGTATTAAGATAGGGAATTGTTACTGACTTTTAAAAAATCTTATTTTGCATTCCGAACTTTTTATAATTAAAAAGAATAATAGACTTGTAAGGAGTATAGAATAAGATTCTTGAAGTGCTAATAACAGTTTTATTAAGATATCATAATAGATGTAACTGTAGACATGTTGCTGCCTAATGACAACGACAAAAGTATTGAACTTCTTACAATATGATCAGTATATTAATTGACAAGAAATAACGATGTTAGCTCTCAAGTATATACGCCCGTGAAATTTATTGCGTTAGTCCCTGATGGTCCCCTGCTTTTGCTTTTCATTAGTTTCTTTATTTTTCTAAAAGGTGATAAAGACATGCACCTAGAAAATGGAAACTGCACCTAAAAAACAGAACCGCGTGATGTTGTCTGTCATTGACTCATTGACTTCAAAAGCTAGAAACGCGTGATGTGGTCGTCATTGACTCATTACTTCCTTTGTAGTTCAGTGTGAAGATCAATTGAGTGTTTCAGTTCTTACATTACTCTTAGATACTCGATCGATTAATGGCTGCTGCTGCATCTTCTTCGTCCTCTGGCTCTCCTTGGAAATACGACGTGTTCCTCAATTTCAGAGGGGAAGACACTCGCAGGTGCTTCGTCAGCCACCTCTACAAAGCCCTGAATCAGAAAGCAATCAACACCTTCATTGATGCCGAAGGGCTCCGAAAGGGCAACGACCTTTCGCAGCTACTGACGGCGATCCAAGATTCGCGCGTTTCAATCGTGGTTTTTTCTCAAAACTATGCTTCTTCCACATGGTGCTTGAAGGAGCTCGTCCAAATACTGGATTGTATGGATCGAAAGGACCAGATAGTGGTGCCCGTTTTTTACGATGTGGATCCTTCTCATGTCCGCAAAGCAGAGAGCAGCTTTGCGGAAGCTTTTGCCAAGCATGAAGGCCATTCTAACGCCGACATGGAAGAGGTGCGGAGCTGGAGGTCCGCTCTTACTCGAGCCACCAATTTATCCGGCTGGGATTCGAAAAATTACGAGTAATTTTTAGCTATAGTAGATTCATAATTTGGGATTTTTTTTTCTTTTAACGTTTAGTTTTAATTCTTTGTCATGTTTTCCTAGCAAATGTACGACTATGTATACGGTTTGCACTTGCTCTTGATCTTACTCTTACAATAATGTTTTTCTTATTCCACAGGGATGATGCCAAGCTCATTGAGGAAATTGTAAAAGATATTTTTCAGAAATGGATCCGCACCTCATCAAATAAAGACGATGACTTGGTTGAAATGGATTCCCGCATGCATGAAATGGACTTGTTATTACATCCTGCTCCTCAAATGGACGACGTTCGTGTTGTTGGAATATGGGGTATGGGTGGTATAGGCAAAACAACCATAGCTAGAGCTGTTTATGAGAAAATTGCTTGTCAATTTGAAGCTTGTTGCTTTCTTGACAATGTCAAAAAAGAGTTCTCCGCTTGTGGTGCTGTACATATGCAGGAAGAACTTCTATCTAGGATCTTGAATGAAAAGGTGCAGAGTTTAGGCACTTTGGATCGAGGTTACGGAATGATTTTGAAAAGGCTACAGATGAAAAGGTTTTGATTGTTCTTGATGATGTTGACGACTTATTTCAAATTGAAACCTTACTTGGAAAGCAACATTCATTTGGTGGTGGGAGTAGAATCATTATCACCACTAGAGATAAGCTAGTACTAAGTGGAGCTGATGCGATCTACAGCCCCAAGGTTCTAAGTGGTGATGGAGCTTTGGAACTCTTTAGCCAGTATGCCTTTAGAACAAAGCAACCCAAAAGAGACTATGACCATCTCTTAAGCCGTGCTGTACGATATGCTCAAGGTCTCCCTTTAGCACTTAAAGTCTTGGGGGCTTTTCTTTATAACAAATCTATACAGGAGTGGGAAGAGGTGCTAGAGAAATTAAAGAAAATCCCGCAAAGGGGAATTCATGATGTGCTAAGAACAAGCTTCGATGGACTAGATGATTCTGAGAAGGACATATTTCTGGATATTGCATGTTTCTTTAAAGGAGCGGAAAAAGACAACGCAACAAAGGTTCTGGACAGTTGTGGCTTTTATCCCCATACTGGGCTAAGAGTTCTAATTGATCGAGCTCTTATAACTGTCTCACAGGAAACACTGAAGATGCATGATTTACTAGAGGAAATGGGTCGGGAAATCGTTCGTCAAGAATCTATTAAAGAGCCTGGGAAACGCAGTAGGTTGTGGAATTATGAAGATGTTCACCATGTGCTAACTCAAAATACGGTGCGATATGTTCATGACCTTCTTTTTCATATGTAAATCTTTAGAGTAAACAACTTTAACTTTGATCAAAATACAATTCATAGAAACATGCATTAACTTTATAATGTTAAATAAGATTCAGGATATCTACAGTCACATAATTTGAACTATTTGTTATCCAGGCTACGGAAGCTGTTGAAAGCATAATCCTTGACCTTTCATTCTCAAAACCAAAAGTGGTATACTTCAGTTCCGAAGCTTTTGTTAAAATGACGAAATTAAGATTGCTCAAAATCCACGGCGACAATGGACATTCATGTGAGAATTTAAAGTTTCTTCTGCATGAGTTAAGAAGTCTCGTATGGGAGCATTGCCCCCTAAAGTCTTTACCGTCCAATTTTATTGCGAAGAATCTTGTTGAGCTTGACATGCAAAATAGTCTCATTGAACATCTTTGGGAAGGAGCCAAGGTAAAAACTTCACTTGCATATGTTTCTTTTAAATGGTTTAATTCTTAGATGCCTTACCATATAACTTGTTTTCCTTGATGTGTTATACCAGCCTCTGGAAAATTTGAAAATGATCAACTTAACAAGTTCTCCTCACCTGAAGAAAACTCCTGACTTCACGGAGGCGAAAAATCTTGAGAAAGTAGTTTTTCAAAGTTGTACAAGTTTATTTGAGGTTCACCCTTCCATTTCATCTCTCAAAAACCTGGTTCTTTTGGATTTGGAAGATTGCAGAAATCTTAAGATTTTTCCAAGCAAGATTGGTATGAAATCTCTTAGAACCCTTAAACTTTCATGGTGCAGAAACCTTGTTAAGTTTCCCGAAGTTTCAGATGTTATGCAGGATCTATCAGAGCTTTATTTAGATTATACTCAAATTAAAGAACTGCCCTCGTCAATTAGTAATCTTACGGGGCTTGTTGCCTTGAATATAAGAGGTTGCAGAAAACTTGAGAGTCTTCCAAGCAGCATTTCTCACATCAAATCTCTTGAATACCTTGATGTTTCTGGATGCTCAAAGCTCGAGAAGTTTCCAGAAATTTCAGAGGTTATGAAGAAGCTATATGTGCTTTGTTTGGGTGGCACTGCAATTAAGGAGCTCCCTGCTTCTATTTTAAATCTCACCAGTCTTGATACTTTGAATCTGAATGATTGCAGAGAACTTGAGAGTCTTCCAAGCAGCATTTCTCACATGAAATCTCTTGAATACCTTGATGTTTCTGGATGCTCAAAGCTTGAGAAGTTTCCAGAAATTTCAGAGGTTATGAAGAAGCTATCTGAGCTTTGTTTGGATGGCACTGCAATTAAGGAGCTACCTGCTTCTATTTTAAATCTCACCAGTCTTGTTACTTTGAAGTTGAATGATTGCAGAGAACTTGAGAGACTTCCAAGCAGCATTTCTCACATGAAATCTCTTAAACACCTTGATGTTTCTGGATGCTCAAAGCTTGAGAAGTTTCCAGAAATTTCAGAGGTTATGAAGAAGTTGTCTAGCCTTTATTTGGATGGCACTGCAATTAAGGAGCTGCCTGCTTCTATTATAAATCTCACCAGTCTTGATACTTTGAATCTGAATGATTGCAGAGAACTTGAGAGTCTTCCAAGCAGTATTTCTCACATGAAATCTCTTAAATACCTTGATGCTTCTGGATGCTCAAAGCTTGGGAAGTTTCCAGAAATTTTGGAGGTTATGAAGGAGCTATCTAAGCTTTGTTTGGGTGGCACTGCAATTAAGGAGCTGCCTGCTTCTATTTTAAATCTCACCAGTCTTGTTACTTTGAAGTTGAATGATTGCAGAGAACTTGAGAGTCTTCCAAGCAGCATTTTCAACATGAAATCTCTTAAATACCTTGATGTTTCTGGATGCTCAAAGCTTGAGAAGTTTCCAGAAATTTCAGAGGTTATGAATCTGTCTAGCCTTTATTTGGATGGGACTGCAATTAAGGAGCTGCCTACTTCTATTTTAAATCTCACCAGTCTTGTTACTTTGAAGTTGAATGATTGCAGAGAACTTGAGAGTCTTCCAAGCAGCATTTCTCACATGAAATCTCTTAAATACCTTTATGTTTCTGGATGCTCAAAGCTTGAGAAGTTTCCAGAAATTTCAGAGGTTATGAAGGAGCTATCTATTCTTTGTTTGGGTGGCAATGCAATTAAGGAGCTGCCTGCTTCTATTTTAAATCTCACCAGTCGTTATACTTTGAAGCTGAATGAATGCAGAGAACTTGAGAGTCTTCCAAGCAGCATTTCTCACATGAAATCTCTTATATACCTTGATGTTTCTGGATGCTCAAAGCTTGAGAAGTTTCCAGAAATTTTGGAGGTTATGAACGAGCTATCTACGCTTTGTTTGGGTGGCAATGCAATTAAGGAGCTGCCTGCTTCTATTTTAAATCTCACCAGTCTTGTTACTTTGAAGTTGAATGATTGCAGAGAACTTGAGAGTCTTCCAAGCAGCATTTCTCACATGAAATCTCTTAAATACCTTTATGTTTCTGGATGCTCAAAGCTTGAGAAGTTTCCAGAAATTTCAGAAGTTATGAAGAAGCTATCTGAGCTTTGTTTGGATGACACTGCAATTAAGGAGCTGCCTGCTTCTATTTTAAATCTCACCAGTCTTGTTATTTTGATGTTGAATGATTGCAGAGAACTTGAGAGTCTTCCAAGCAGCATTTTTCACATGAAATCTATTAAATACCTTTATGTTTCTGGATGCTCAAAGCTTGAGAAGTTTCCAGAAATTTCAGAGGTTATGAAGGAGCTATCTATTCTTTGTTTGGGTGGCAATGCAATTAGGGAGCTGTCTGCTTCTATTTTAAATCTCACCAGTCGTGATACTTTGAATCTGAATGATTGCAGAGAATTGAGAGTCTTCCAAGCAGCATTTCTCACATGAAATCTCTTATATACCTTGATGTTGCTGGATGCTCAAAGCTTGAGAAGTTTCCAGAAATTTTAGAGGTTATGAAGGAGCTATCTAAGCTTTGTTTGGGTGGCACTGCAATTAAGGAGCTGCCTGCTTCTATTTTAAATCTCACCAGTCTTGTTACTTTGAATCTGAATGATTGCAGAGAACTTGAGAGTCTTCCAAGCAGCATTTCTCACATGAAATCTCTTACATACCTTGATGTTTCTGGATGCTCAAAGCTTGAGAAGTTTCCAGAAATTTTAGAGGTTATGAAGGAGCTATCTAAGCTTTGTTTGGATGGCACTGCAATTAAGGAGCTGCCTGCTTCTATTTTAAATATCTCCAGTCTTGTTACTTTGAAGTTGAATGATTGCAGAGAACTTGAGAGTCTTCCAAGCAGCATTTCTCACATGAAATCTCTTGAATACCTTGATGTTTCTGGATGCTCAAAGCTTGAGAAGTTTCCCGAAATTTTAGAGGTTATGAAGGAGCTATCTAAGCTTTGTTTGGGTGGCACTGCAATTAAGGAGCTGCCTGCTTCTATTTTAAATCTCACCAGTCTTGTTACTTTGAAGTTGAATGATTGCAGAGAACTTGAGAGTCTTCCAAACAACATTTCTCACATGAAATCTCTTGAATACCTTCATGTTTCTGGATGCTCAAAGCTTGAGAAGTTTCCAGAAATTTCAGAGGTTATGAAGAAGCTATCTGAGCTTTGTTTGGATGGCACTGCAATTAAGGAGCTGCCTGCTTCTATTTTAAATCTCACCAGTCTTGTTACTTTGAAGTTGAATGATTGCAGAGAACTTGAGAGACTTCCAAGCAGCATTTCTCACATGAAATCTCTTAAACACCTTGATGTTTCTGGATGCTCAGAACTTGAGAAGTTTCCAAAAATTTCAGAGGTTATGAAGAAGCTATCTGAGCTTTGTTTGGGTGGCACTGCAATTAAGGAGCTGCCTGCTTCTATTTTAAATCTCACCAGTCTTGATACTTTGAATATGAATGATTGCAGAGAACTTGAGTCTTCCAAGCAGCATTTCTCACATGAAATCTCTTATATACCTTGATGTTTCTGGATGCTCAAAGCTTGAGAAGTTTCCAGAAATTTTAGAGGTTATGGAAAAGCTATTTGAGCTTTGTTTGGGTGGCACTACAATTAAGGAGTTGCCTGCTTCTATTTTAAATCTCACCAGTCTTGTTACTTTGAATCTGAATGATTGCAGAGAACTTGAGAGTCTTCCAAGCATCATTTCTCACATGAAATCTCTTAAATACCTTGATGCTTCTGGATGCTCAAAGCTTGGGAAGTTTCCAGAAATTTTGGAGGTTATGAAGGAGCTATCTAAGCTTTGTTTGGGTGGCACTGCAATTAAGGAGCTACCTGCTTCTATTGTAAATCTCACTAGTCTTGTAACTTTGAATCTGAATGATTGCAGAGAACTTGAGTGTCTTCCAAGCATCATTTCTCACATGAAATCTCTTAAATACCTTGATGTTTCTGGATGCTCAAAGCTTGAGAAGTTTCCAGAAATTTCAGAGGTTATGAAGGAGCTATCTAAGCTTTATTTGGGTGGCACTGCAATTAAGGAGCTGCCTGCTTCTATTTTAAATCTCACCAGTCTTGATACTTTGAATCTGAATGATTGCAGAGAACTTGAGAGTCTTCCAAGCGGCATTTCTCACTTGAAATCTCTTAAATACCTTGATGTTTCTGAATGCTCAAAGCTTGAGAAGTTTCCAGAAATTTCCAAGGTTATGAACAAGCTATCAGAGTTGTGAACTTGGTAAATATATGTTGTTGATAGAATGCCTATGACTTTTCATGGTTCATTCCTTTAATAACTCTTTTGGTGATGATGTGAAGATATATGGTTATTTAATCTAAATTAGTAGTTGAATATCTTTGTCCTGCAACTTTTCCTTTCAGCTCAATTGAACAATTTGTTCACAGCATGCTATCGTGCTTTGTCTATCCTTTGGTATGAAGCTGAAAATTGCAGTGTCTTTATCCTTTTGATTCACCCACTGTAAGCCTACTTAGCTCCAGCTGAAGCCCTTCAAATCAAACTGTCTGCAACTTGAAGTCTACTTTTATTTTTAGAAATGTTTATTCATTTTTATTATTTTCAGCTGAAATCAATAGAAATGAACTTCAATTTGATAATGGAATGCAGGGAAAATGCAGGGGAGAGCCTTCTCTCGCTCTCAAATCCGGGGAATCATGTCGCACCACTAGTCCTGCCGCACCACCAGTGTTCCTCCGCTTTACTGAAGGTAAGCAAGTCATCCTACTCTACAACAACAACAACAACAAAGCCTTTTCCCACTAAGTGGGGTCGGCTATATGAATCCTAGAACGCCATTGCGCTCGGTTTTGTGTCATGTCCTCCGTTAGATCCAAGTACTCTAAGTCTTTTCTTAGAGTCTCTTCCAAAGTTGTCCTAGGTCTTCCTCTACCCCTTCGGCCCTGAACCTCTGTCCCGTAGTCACATCTTCGAACCGGAGCGTCAGTCGGCCTTCTTTGCACATGTTCAAAATCACCGGAGCCGATTTTCTCTCATCTTTCCTACAATTTCGGCTACTCCTACTTTACCTCGGATATCCTCATTCCCAATCTTATCCTTTCTCGTGTGCCCACACATCCCACGAAGCATCCTCATCTCCGCTACACCCATTTTGTGTACGTGTTGATGCTTCACCACCCAACATTCTGTGCCATACAACATCGCTAGCCTTATTGCCGTCCTATAAAATTTTCCCTTGAGCTTCAGTGGCCTACGACGGTCACACAACACGCCGGATGCACTCTTTCCATCCAGCTCGTATTCTATGGTTGAGATCTCCATCTAATTCTCCGTTCTCTTGCAAGATAGATCCTAGGTAGCGAAAACGATCGCTTTTTGTGATCTTCGCTAGATTGCTCCGGTCATTAGTGTGGATAAGTATATAAAATGGATAGAGATAGGAAAAGCAAACACAAGATGTACGTGGTTCACCCAGATTGGCTACGTCCACGGAATAGAAGAGTTCTCATTAATTGTGAAGGGTTTACACAAGTACATAGGTTCAAGCTCTCATTTTAGTGAGTACAAGTGAATGATTTAGTACAAATGACATTAGGAAATATTGTGGGAGAATGATCTCGTAATCACGAAACTTCTAAGTATCGGAGTGTGGTGTCGTCTTGACTTGCCTTATCTGTCTCATAGGTAGATGTGGCATCTTATCTGGAAGTACTCTTCCTCCATCCAGGGGTGGTATCTTTAACTGGTGGAGATGCACAAGGTAATGTATCAATTTCACTTGAAGCTTACTTGTAGTTTCAGGCTTGGTCAAGCGCGATACAAACCATGTAGTAGGAGTCCCCCAAGTCGCCGAGCTAGGGGGTCTGCTGAAAGAGGTGACAGACAAGGTAAGCAATCAGAGCTCCGACTGATTGTTCACCTTCTCCCCATCTTGCAGCAGCATGAAGGATAAAGAGAAGAAAAATGAGAAGAGATGATATGAGATACTTTTGCTTTTGAAGAAGTAACTTTCCACAGGCTTATTCTTGAACTGAGCTGGAGGGTTTTCTGGTTTCCTCCAGAGTATAAGGCCGACTGAAGAATTTGAGGGTCAAAACAGGTCCATCAAATCTAGAGTACGTTCCACCCTGCTGATATGGGATACTTTTGCTTTTGACAGAGTAATGAATGTATCGGCACGTGTGCTGTTACGCTTGTCTCCACATGCTTCCTTGTATCCTTTCGCACTTGCCCTATCTGTTCCTCAAGCAGATGCGGAATCTTCCCTGGAAACATAAGATGTTGAAGATGAGTACTCGAGAGCAATGCCAGGTAAGTAATCAGGTAAGGGGTTCCAGGCAGTCAGTTCCTGGCTGGAAGCTTGATTCCAAGTGCTGACTGATTGCTCTCTTTCTCCTTGTCTTGCAGGTAAAAAACAAGGCCAAAAGAAAAGACAGGAAAAAAAGCATGATATGGGATACTCTTGCTTTTAACCCTGATGATATGAGAATATTCTTGCTCTAGTATAGCTTGTTTGCAGAGGTATTATCGGGGGGAAAAGAAAGCTGAATATTTCGAAAGGCTTCGTTGGGAGTGCCCTCTCAGATATGATGAAGGGTTGAGCATTTTTGCAGGTCTGCCTGTCCGTTGGAGATGGAGGTCGACATATATAGGAGTCTCCCCTAACAACAAGTAGTAATGTTATTCCTTTACCCTGCTTGGTCATAGCACGGTAGTGGGAGCTGCCAGTTTCACATGTTTTTTAACTCTGTCAGAGCACTTTGAAAAAGTGGTCTGTGGTATCTGGCTCTCGAGATTCGGAGAACGATGCCTCTTCGATTTTTGAGAAAGCAATCATGCTGGGGGTATGACTCTCGAGATTCGGAGAGCAGTGTCTCTTCGATTTTTGAGGAAGTAATCATGTTGGGAGTCTGGCTCTCGAGATTCGGAGGGTGGTGCTTCTTCGATTTTGGAGCAAGCAATCTTGTTGGGAGTGTTGTCTCGAATGTGAGTATAGGTTGGGCATGTTTGCTAGTCTACCTTGCCACGAAGCACAAAGGTTGACCACACAGGGACTTTCCAATTATCCAGCAATGGTACTGTTCCTTTACCCTCTCTTCGATTTTGAGAAAGTAGTCATGTTGGGAGTCTGGCTCTCGAGATTCGGAGGACGGTGCCTCTTCGATTTTTGGAGCAAGCAATCTTATTGGGAGTGTTTTCTCGAATGTGAGTAAAAGGTTGGGCATGTTTGCTAGTCTACCTTGCCACGAAGCACAGAGGTTGACACACAGGGACTTTCCAATTATCCAGCAGTGGTACTGTTCCTTTACAGTTGTGGGTAATAATATGGTAGCTAGACCTTCAAAATTTATGTGTCTAAACTTTTGTTAGTGCTGTTTCTTTGCTATTCTTTTACCTTTCTTGGTCAGAGCGATGTAGTGGGAGCTGCAAGCTTCACGTGCTCAACTTTGGCAGAGAACTTTGGCAAAGTTATTTGTGGTACCCATGAGCTATTGTTGCGTGTGGGAAGTGGGTGATTGAACAGTAAGATTCATGTGCTTTCTACTTCACCAGAAGTCTTTCGACAGAATGCCCATAATTTCTGCAAAGCTGAGTGTGCGTGTGACAGGTGTTGACAAGGTTAGAAAAAGTAGGTGCCTCTTCGATTTCTGAGATCGGGCCCTCGTGGTCTCTGAGCAGCCCAGCTTTTGAGAAAGCGAGCGCCTCTTCGATTGATTCGGAGAACGATGCCTCATCGATTTTTGAGAAAAGCAATCATGATGGGGGTCTGGCTCTCGAGATTCGGGGAGCAGTGTCTCTTCGATTTTTGAGAAAAAGTAATCATGTTGGGAGTCTGGCTCTCGAGATTCGGAGGGCGGTGCCTCTTCGATTTTGGAGCAAGCAATCTTGTTGGGAGTGTTTTTCTCGAATGTGAGTAAAGGTTGGGCATGTTTGCTAGTCTACCTTGCCACGAAGCACAGAGGTTGACACACAGGAACTTTCCAATTATCCAGCAATGGTACTGTTCCTTTACCCTCTCTTCGATTTTTTAAGAAAGTAGTCATGTTGGGAGTCTGGCTCTTGAGATTCGGAGGACGGTGCCTCTTCGATTTTGGAGCAAGCAATCTTATTGGGAGTGTTTTCTCGAATGTGAGTAAAGGTTGGGCATGTTTGCTAGTCTACCTTGCCACGAAGCACAGAGGTTGACACACAGGGACTTTCCAATTATCCAGCAGTGGTACTGTTCCTTTTTACCCTTGTGGGTAATAATATGGTAAGCTAGACCTTCAAAAATTTTATGGGTCTAAACTTTGTTAGTGCTGTTTCTTTGCTATTCTTTTACCCTTCTTGGTCAGAGCGATGTGTAGGGAGCTGCAAGCTTCACGTGCTCAACTTTGGCAGAGAACTTTGGCAAAGTTATCTGTGGTACCCATGAGCTATTGTTGCGTGTGGGAAGTGGGTGATTGAACAGTAAGATTCATGTGTTTTTCTACTTCCCCAGAAGTCTTTGACAGAATGCCCATAATTTCCGCAAAACTGAGTGTGCGTGTGACAGGTGCTGACAAGGCTGGAAAAGGCTGGAAAAGTAGGTGCCTCTTCGATTTCTGATATCGGCCCTCTCGTGGTCTCTGGGGAGCCCAGCTTTTGAGAAAGCGAGCGCCTCTTCGATTTTTGAGATCGGCCTTCGTGGTCTTTTGAGCAGCCCAACTTTTTGAGAAAGCAAACGCCTCTTCGATTTCTGAGATCAACCCTCGTGATCTCTAAGCAGCCCAGCTTTTGAGAAAGCAAACGCCTCTTCGATTTCTGAGCAGGCGCCTCTTCGATTTCTGAAGCTTCGTCGAGTGCAGATTTTTATAGGGGCTGGCATTAAGTTCCAAAGCACACTTGAATCTCCACCAGTAGAAGCTTCATTCTTGCACTTCTAAGATCTTGATTTGTCCGACCTCTTCTCTCTTCAACACCTTTGAAAATGTCTGGCCCCTCCGACCGTCGTTTTGACTTGAACCTTGTTGAAGAGGCAGCCCCGCCTTCTCCAGACAACATATGGCGCCCATCCTTCGTCTCCCCTACTGGTCCTCTTACCGTTGGGATTCCGTGATGAAGAATGATATGACCGCTGCGGTGGTGGCCAGGAACCTTCTCACTCCCAAAGATAACAGACTACTTTCCAAACGGTCTGATGAGTTAGCTGTTAAGGATTCGCTGGCTCTCAGTGTTCAGTGTGCAGGTTCTGTGTCTAATATGGCCCAACGCCTATTTGCTCGAACCCGCCAAGTTGAATCATTGGCGGCTGAAGTGATGAGTCTCAAACAGGAGATTAGAGGGCTCAAGCATGAGAATAAACAGTTGCACCGGCTCGCACATGACTATGCTACAAACATGAAGAGGAAGCTTGACCAGATGAAGGAAACTGATGGTCAGGTTTTACTTGATCATCAGAGATTTGTGGGTTTGTTCCAAAGGCATTTATTGCCTTCGTCTTCTGGGGCTGTACCGCGTAATGAAGCTCCAAATGATCAACCTCTGATGCCTCCTCCTTCTAGGGTTCTGTCCAGTACTGAGGCTCCAAATGATCCCCCTCCGGTGCCTTCTCTTTCTGGGGCTCTACCGACTGCTGAGACTTCTCCTAAGCAACCTTTGTGAAGGCTCCCTCTTGTGTGCTTATTTTGACTCATGTATATGTACATATTTGTAGCTTATCGGGGATATCAATAAATAAGTTTTCCTTCATTTCAACGTATTGTGTTAAATACACCAAAGCCTTCTTCGCTAAGTTCTTTGAATTTTCTTTTTGTTAAAGCTTGTATGTTGAAGCTTTCTGAGTGGAGCATGTAGGTTGGGGTAGTGTTCTCTTAATTTCCCGAATGAGGAAAACTTCTCGGTTGGAGACTTGAAAAATCCAAGTCACTGAGTGGGATCGGCTATATGAATCTTAGAACGCCATTGTGTGCTCGATCCTGTGTCATGTCCTTCGTTAGATCCAAGTACTCTAAGTCTTTTCTTAGAGTCTCTTCCAAAGTTTTCCTAGGTCTTCCTCTACCCCTTCGGCCCTGCACCTCTGTCCCATAGTCGCATCTTCTAATCGGAACGTCAGTAGGCCTTCTTTGCACATGTCCAAACCACCGTAACCGATTTTCTCTCATCTTTCCTTCAATTTCGGCTACTCCTACTTTACCCCGGATATCCTCATTCCTAATCTTATCCTTTCTCGTGTGCCCACACATCCAACGAAGCATCCTCATCTCCGCTACACCCATTTTGTGTACGTGTTGATGTTTCACCGCCCAACATTCTGTGCCATACAGCATCGCGGGCCTTATTGCCGTCCTATAAAAATTTTCCCTTGAGCTTCAGTGGCATACGGCGGTCACACAACACGCCGGATGCACTCTTCCACTTCATCCATCCAGCTTGTATTCTATGGTTGAGATCTCCATCTAATTATCCGTTCTTTTGCAAGATAGATCCTAGGTAACGAAAACGGTCGCTCTTTGGTATTTCTTGATCTCCGATCCTCACCCCTAACTCGTTTTGGCCTCCATTTGCACTGAACTTGCACTCCATATATTCTGTCTTTGATCGGCTTAGGCGAAGACCTTTAGATTCCAACACTTCTCTCCAAAGGTTAAGCTTTGCATTTACCCCTTCCTGAGTTTCATCTATCAACACTATATCGTCTGCGAAAAGCATACACCAAGGAATATCATCTTGAATATGTCGTGTTAACTCATCCATTACCAACGCAAAAAGGTAAGGACTTAAGGATGAGCCTTGATGTAATCCTACAGTTATGGGAAAGCTTTCGGTTTGTCCTTCATGAGTTCTTACGACAGTCTTTGCTCCTTCATACATATCCTTTATAGCTTGGATATATGCTACTCGTACTCCTTTCTTTCTCTAAAATCCTCCAAAGAATGTCTCTTGGGACCCTATCATACGCTTTTTCCAAATCTATAAAGACCATGTGTAAATCCTTTTTCCCATCTCTATATCTTTCCATCAATCTTCGTAAGAGATAGATTGCCTCCATGGTTGAGCGCCCTGGCATGAACCCGAATTGGTTGTCCGAAACCCGTGTCTCTTGCCTTAATCTATGCTCAATGACTCTCTCCCAGAGCTTCATTGTATGACTCATTAGCTTAATACCCCTATAGTTCATGCAATTTTGTACGTCGCCCTTATTCTTGTAGATAGGCACCAAAGTGCTCATTCGCCACTCATTTGGCATCTTCTTCGTTTTCAAAATCCTATTGAAAAGGTCAGTGAGCCATGTTATACCTGTCTCTCCCAAAAGTTTCCACACTTCGATTGGTATATATCGTCTGGGCCTATTGCTTTTTTATGCTTCATCTTCTTCAAAGCTACAACCACTTCTTCCTTCCGGATTCGACGATAAAAAGAGTAGTTTCTACACTCTTCTGAGTTACTCAACTCCCCTAAAGAAGCACTCATTTCATGTCCTTCATTTGAAAAGATTATGAAAATAACCTCTCCATCTGTCTTTAACCGCGTTCTCTGTAGCAAGAACCTTTCCATCCTCATCCTTGATGCACCTCACTTGGTTTAGGTCCCTTGTCTTCTTTTCCCTTGCTCTAGATAGTTTATAGATATCCAACTCTCCTTCTTTGGTATCTAGTCGTTTATACATATCGTCGTAAGCCGCTAACTTAGCTTCTCTGACAGCTTTCTTCGCCTCTTGCTTCGCTTTTCTATACCTTTCACCATTTTCATCAGTCCTCTCCTTGTATAAGGCTTTACAACATTCTTTCTTAGCCTTCACCTTTGTTTGTACCTCCTCATTCCACCACCAAGATTCCTTTTTGGTGTGGGGCAAAGCCCTTGGACTCTCCTAATACCTCTTTTTGCTACTTTTCGGATACAACTAGCCATGGAATCCCACATTTGGCTAGCTTCCCCCTCTCTATCCCACACACATTGGGTGATTACCTTCTCTTTGAAAATGGCTTGTTTTTCTTCTTTTAGATTCCACCATCTAGTCCTTGGGCACTTCCAAGTCTTGTTCTTTTGTCTTACTCTTTTGATATGTACATCCATCACCAACAAGCGATGTTGATTAGCCACGCTCTCTCCTGGTATAACTTTGCAATCCTTACAAGTTTATACGATCCCCTTTCCTCATTAGAAGAAAATCTATTTGTGTTTTTTGACGACCCACTCTTGTAGGTGATCACATGTTCTTCTCTCTTCTTAAAGAAGGTGTTGGCTAAGAAGAGATCATATGCCATTGCAAAATCCAAGATAGCTTCCCCATCCTCGTTTCTCTCCCCAAAACCATGGCCACCATGAAAACCTCCATAGTTGCCTGTCTCCCTGCCCACGTGTCCATTTAAATCTCCTCCTATAAATAACTTCTCCGTCTGAGCAATTCCTTGCACCAAGTCTCCAAGATCTTCCCAAAATTTCTCCTTCGAACTCGTATCCAACCCTACTTGAGGTGCGTACGCACTAATCACATTGATAAGTTCTTGTCCTATTACAATCTTGATTGCCATGATTCTATCTCCTGCCCTCTTGACATCTACAACATCTTGTACCAAGGTCTTGTCCACGATGATGCCAACACCGTTTCTCGTTCTATTTTTTGTGCCCGAATACCAAAGTTTAAACCCTGAGTTTTCTAGATCCTTTGCCTTACTACCAACCCACTTAGTTTCTTGTAGGCACATAATATTTATCCTTCTCCTCACCATAACTTCCACTACTTCCATAGATTTTCCCGTTAAGGTTCCTATATTCCACGTTCCTAAACGCATTTTTGCTCTCTTGAACTCTACCCTTCTGTCCTAGCTTCTTCACCCTCCCCCGTCTAATAGGATCAAAGTACTTCTTTTGTGTGTCCCGGGTAAAGTTGATAGGAGCATATGCTCCCAAACAACTTTGAGTGGAGTCGTTCGAAAAGAAGTTTCTATGGCCCCCTTGCTCATTTAACACTGCATCCGGGTGCCGATGGAGATACAGCGACCCTTGCTCACTTATCACTGTGCTCAGGCCACACAGCGCGCCACTTACGGGTGACGCCCTAGCTTTAGCGCGATTTTGTTCTGGATTCATTTTCATAAGGATTCGACGTGATCATGGAGTGCCGGCTGTCGACTACCTGACGCCCTTTCAAAAATTTGGGGGGTTTTGTTTCCTTTCCAATACCAATCAGGTAATCAATCTGTACGAATGGATTTGATAGATTGAAGCACTGTGGATCTGATTGGAGTGTCTTTGTCCTTTAAATTTCTTTAGAATATAAATCTAATGTATGGATCTCATATATAATATAAACTTAATCTTTTGATACAGTTTCAATGAGCCAATAACCTGCACCCACAGTGAAAAACATCTTCCAGTAAACACTTTTGCCATCTTTTGTCAATGTCATTGTAAATGAATCAATATTTCATAATACTTTTTTCATGTAAAATGCCCAAAATTTCGTCATCTTTTGTACATAAGTACTGCTATTGATAAAAAAAAGGACAAAAACTCTCCGAGTGGAATGTGTCCACCTAATTTTTTTGCATGTACATGATCTTTTGTATGAGGATTGTATCAATCAGATATTTTGTATGTAAAAGTCTACCAAAACGTTTTCAATGCAAATAACATTAGTCTTCTGTAAGACAGTCTTTTATACCTTTCAAACATATTCTTCATACAATTTCTAATTCCACTGCAACGCGTAGGCAAAACTTTCTAATGGTGGATGAAATCCCTTTTCCTCCTCAGATCACAACCACCAAGCCATTATCTCTGCTGGGTCAAGGTAAAGCCATCATCTTTCACATGCTAATTAATTACACATCTGGGGTTTAATTAGCAAAGTAGGAAAATTACTGATGGGTAAATTGGGGTTTTCAGGGGAATTACCGACATTGATATTCGTTTTGTTCAGATCAAGTTCACAGCAATTGGGGTTTACTTGGACCCTGAAATTGTGTCACATCTTCAGCAATGGAAAACCAAAAAGGAAAATGAACTTGGAAGATGATGACTTCTTTGATGCTCTGATTTCTGGTAAAGTTTCTGTCTTTATCTTTCATATTTCATTTGGCTAATAGCCTAACACCAATTTGGTAAACGTGGGTCAGGGTAGTGTCCATGTAGCTCCTGTTGAGAAATTAGAGTAGATCAAAATATCGGTCGAATTTTAAGTTAACCCATTTAGTTCATTGATCATATTGTGTGTTGCATGTAGCCCTGCTGAGAAATTCATTAGGGTTGTAGTGACCAAGGAGATCAAAGGGTCCCAATATGGAGTGCAGATTGAGAGTGCAGTGAGGGACAGACTGGCAGCTGATGACAAATATGAGGAAGAGGAGGAGGCCTTGGAAAAAGTTCTTCCAATCAAAGTACTTGAAGAAGGATTCTGTCATCATATTCCATCTTCCTGCAACTTCTGCCGCTGCCGAGGTAAAGAATCATCTTAACCAAAGGGTAAAAAGTAACAGCAATATCGTTAACATACATTGTCTTTATGGCTCTCAAAAAGGGGGTTATGGCTTGAATTCTGTGGAAACAAAAAGAAGTCATTAATATTGTTGCAATGCCCAAATCATGTGCCTTTGTAAGAACCCAAGACCATATACAAGTATAGAAACACTTTATGTGGATCACTTATGTGGACAACCGAACCGTGCGCGGGCACCATCATGTGCAAACAACCCGCTGCTTCGAATCAAAGAGGGGGCGGTCACGATGACGTCTCTGAGTAAGGAGCTTGTGTTCCTGATCTTGCAGTTTCTCGATGAGGAAAAATTCAAAGAGACCATCTCCACAACCACAGGTAGGGCTGATTTCTGTATTTTTAATTAATGCGTTTTTGTTGGCACAATTGCTAATTAGTACTGATATACTGCATCATTAATTGCTTTTTTGATGTAAATACTAAATAGGCTAGAGCAGGAATCTGTGGTTTTCTTCAATATGAAATATTTTGAGGATGAGGTGCATAATGGCAATTGGGATGAAGTTGAGAAGCACCACTCCAGGTTCACTAAATTGGAAGATGACAGCTATTCCATGAAAATCTTTTTCGAGATAAGGAAGCAGAAGTATCTCGAGGCATTGGACAAGTAAGCTTACAGTGTTTCAATTTCAGTTCATTGATAACTTTCATGGGTTGGATTGCATGGCCGGTCTTGAGGAATTATATGGTTGAATTACATGTAATGTGACTGTGTGGACTTTATAGGCATGATCGGTCCCAAGCCATTGATATTCTAGTAAAGGATTTAAAGTTTTTTGCCACATTCAATGAACTTTGGGAGGAAATTGCTCAGCTTTCGACATTGGTGAACTTTAGGTATGAGCATTCCATTTGTAGCAAATGTACTAAAAAATTGTCTCTTGCATTATAGGGAGAATGAACAACTATCCAAGTGTGGAGATTCAAAGTCTGCCAGGGCAATCATGTTGGTTGAACTTAAGAAACTGATTGAAGCGAATCCCTTATTCAGTGATAAATTGCAGTTCCCAAACCTAAAGCGTTCCAAGGCTACGGACTCTCATTAACCAAGGGTAATTACTCTGAAACCACCACATCAGTTATATAAGATTAGATGTGCACTTCATTGTAACTTATGGATGTTGTTGCAAATACTGGTCTTGCTTTAATGTTTCCACATATGGAATGAGTGCTTTTGCCTTCCGTTGCACTCAAATGACAATTTCATCAAGTTGATAGCACTAGCTAATGAGTTTATTGTTTACGTACATTGTCTATGTGGCTATCAAAAAGGTGGTTATGGCTTGAATTCTGTGGAAACAAAAAGAAGTCATTAATATTGTTGCAATGCCTAAATCATGTGCCTGAATCTTAATTTAGTATATGGTTCATTGCTACATAGCACAGGGGCCTGGTGACAGTTGTACATCACTGCTTGATTCCAGCGTTTGGTGTCAGGATTCTTTTTTTTTTTTTTTGTTCGTGACCAGTGTCAGAAGTTTCCACACACCAGGAACTATTATTTGTGCAAATTATGACCTTTCTGGTTCTGCTGAGAAAGAACTAATTCTCCTTCTGTAAATTCAAGTTTAAATTGGTAGCACAGGCTTTGTAAAAACCCAAGTCCAAATCCAGTTGTAAAAACACTTTATGTGGATCACCCATGTGGACAACCAAACTGTGCGCGGGCACCATCACCTGCAAACAACCCGCTTCTTGGAATCAAACAAGGGGCGGTCAAGATGTTGTCTCTGAGTATGGAGCTTGTGTTCCTGATCTTGCAGCTTCTCGATGAGGGAAACTTCAAAGAGACTATTCATAAGTAGGACTGACTTCTGTATTTTTAATTAATGCTTTTTGTTGGCACAATAGCTGATTATGTACTGATATACTGCGTCATTAATTGCTTTTGTGCTGTAAATGCTAAATAAGGCTAAAGCAGGAATCTGGGGTTTTCTTCAACATGAAATATTTTGAGGATGAGGTGCATAATGGCAATTGGGATGAAGTTGAAGTACCTCTCTGGGTTCACTAAAGTGGAGGATAACTGCTGTTCCATGAAAATGTTTTTCAAGATAAGGAAGCAGAAGTATCTTGAGGCACTGGACAAGTAAGCTTACAATGTTTTGATTTCAGTTCAGTAATAACCTTGGTGGGTTGAATTGCATGATCGGTATTGAGGAATTATATGGTTGAATTACATGTAATGTGACTCTGTGGACTTTATAGATGATCGGTCCCAAGCCGTGGATATTCTAGTAAAGGATTTAAAGTTTTTTGCCACATTCAATTAAGAACTTTCGGAGGAAATCGCTCAGCTCTCGACATTGGAGAACTTTAGGTATGAGAATGCCATTGTATGAAGGGGGAGTGAACAACTATCCAAATACGGAGATACAAAGGTCTGCCAGGGTAATCATGTCGGTTGAACTTAAGAAACTGATTGAAGCGAATCCCTTATTCAGTGATAAATTGCAGTTCCCAAACATTAAGCGTTCGAGGCTAAAGGATTTCATTAACCAAGGGTAATTACTCTGAAACCATGACTTCAGTTATATAAAATTATGGCTTGAATTCTGTGGAAACAAAAGGAAGTCATTACTATTGTTGCAATGTCTAAATCATGTGCCTGAATCTTAATTTAGTATATGGTTCATTACTGCTTGATTCCCGCGCTGGTGTCAGGATTCTTTTATTTGTTGGGTGACCGGTGTCAGAAGTTTCCACACACCAGCAAGAATTATTTGTGCAAATTATGACCTTTCTGGTTCTTCCGATAGAGAACTAATTTTCCTTGTGTAAATTCAAGCTTAAATTGGCAGCATAAGCTTTGTAAGAACCGAAGTCCAGATATAGTTATAGAAACACTTTATGTGGACAACTGAACCGTGCGCGGACAGCATCACCTGCAAACAACCTGCTGCTTGGATCCTTACCAAAAGCTGGAGGGTATCCCCCATTAGGTGCACATGAGGTAAGTAATCTAGCTTAACTGTTGATATGCTACTTAAGCAGACACTTTGTTGTTGTTAACTTTTTGTTGATGTGCTTGGCTTTGCATTGTCAGCCTTTTCAACCTACACCAGCCCCAGTTCCAATACCCCTTGCATCTGTTACTTATCCAGCATTTCTGGAGGTGGAGGTATTGGTCTTGCTGGTCCATCAATAACAGGTAATTCTTTTGTTAATACTCAAGCTCTTAGTTTTCATTTATCATGATCCCGATAAGATGGTCCTTGATTATGGTGTTTCATGATCCCAATAAGATGGTTTTTAATTGTGGTGTTTCATTACCTTGTATAGATGCCTTGAAACATCCAAGGACTCCTCCAACTAATCCTTCTGTGGAGTACCCGTCTTGGGGATTCTGATCATGTTTCTAAAAGAACAACACCGATGGGGCTGTCTACTGAAGTATGTACATACTTGCAAAGATCAAATTTTGAATGGTGATCTCTATATTCATCCTCATTTACCTTTTATTTGTATTTGACAGTTTGTTCTTTCCTGCAGGTTAATCTCCCTGTAACATGTTGCCAGTAACATTTTCAGGACACGGTCATGGTCAAGCTTTGAATGCACCTGATGACTTGCCTAAGAATGTCACTTGGATTTTGAATCAGGGTTCATCTCTCATGAGCATGGATTTTCATGCTTCACAGCAGACTTTTCTTCTTGGTTTGTATTTTTTATGTTTTCAAGTAGCTTCTTATATTTATTTGTGTACCTTCGGGCTCTACAGCTATGTTTGCTGATTGGGTTTTTTTCCCCTTGGATTCTTGGTTATCAGAATTGACTGTTGATTGTTCTCTATGTGATGCTTCAGTTGGTACCGATATGGGGGACGTAGGCCTGTGGGAAGTTGGATCTAGGGAGCGACTCGTTTTAAGGAACTTCAAAGTATTGGATCTTAGTTCATGCTTAATGCTCCTGCAGGTCTTTACCTTTCTTTACTTGTTCATATGTGACATAAAAGTTGTGTGCACTGTATTCTTTGTGGCTGTATGAGTTGGTTGACTGAAAAGTAAATTTGTATTTGTGAAACAGGCTGCTCTAGTTAAGGATCCTGGTGTGGCTGTTGACCGTGAGATTGGCAGCCCTGATGGTGCTTTATTTGGTAAGCTTGTGCATGCTTAGGTAACTGTGGCAAATGTGATATGGCTTTTTAAATTTTTAAGGATTGAATTAGATCCTAATTATTGTATCATTTACAATACAATTATAGGTGTTGCTTACCCAAGGCACATTGTTCAAATATATTCTTATCATGGGGGTGATGATGTACGAAAGCACCTAGAGGTATATACAGAAGATGCTGTTTCAATTATTTCCACGTTTTTTTTTGTTGTCTTTTAGTTTTCTGTATTAATGGTGACTCTGAAATTACTGTCGTAGATTGATGCACATGTTGGTTGAGTAAATGATCTGGCATTCTCCCATCCCAATGAGCAGCTTTGTGTGATTACCTGTGGGGATGACAAGACCATCAAGGTTTGTTTGTTGCCTAACATGTTTGCTTGTCTCATTGCCATTGGAAGAGCGTTTTCTGTTCCTTGCTGATTTCCTTCATAAATTTAGGTGTGGGATGCTACAACCGGTGCAAAACAATATACTTTTGAAGGTCATGATGCTCCAGTTTATTCTGTCTGCCCACATTATAAGGAAAACATTCGGGTGTTGTGGTATTTTATTTTGTTTTTTCATTCTTACTAATTACAACCTGGTGTTTCTTTCTCTGGTGCCTGTCTGTCCTTGTCTTTTGGTACTCATTGTTTGCTGCTATGCTTCAGTTTATCTTGTCAACAGCACTGGATGGAAAGATAAAGGCTTGGATGTCTGACAATTTGGGATCTCGAGTTGATTATGATGCTCCTGGTCGCTGGTGCACAACCATGGCTTATAGTGCTGATGATGGTACAAGGTTAGTATACTGAGCTCAGAGTTTCCTTCTTCCTTTTGCTGGATGGGCTAACTATATAGTTATTTATTTCTTTTCGTCGTTTTTCTTTGGTGGTGGGTTGCAGGCTATTTTCATGTGGTACAAGTAAGGACGGTGAGTCATATATTGTTGAATGGAATGAAAGTGAAGGGGCTGTGGAGAGGACCTATCAAGGCTTTCGCAAGCGTTCTTTTGGTGTCGTGCAATTCAATACTACTACACACCGGTTTTTGGCTGCTGGTGATGATTTTTCTATTAAATTTTGGGACATGGACAATATTCAACTTCTGACAACTGCTGATGCTGATGGAGGCCTCCCAGTAGGTTCGTTTCCTTTTAAGTAAATTGAAATAATAGAATCTTAAATACCAGCTGCTCATCTTCTTTACCCTTCCTAATTCCTAGGCAAGCCCTCGCATCCGCCTCAACAAGGATGGCACTCTCTTAGCTGCTTCTGCCAATGAGAATGGGATTAAAGTTTTGGCAAATCAGATGGAGTGCGGTTGTTGCGAACGATTGAGAATCATCTTTCTTATGATGGGTCTGATAGACGATAATTACTCTGATCGATTGCTTCCTGATTGTCTGTGATCACTGCCTGCTGTAATCCCTGATTGTTTGTAACCCTTTGACTGATTTCCTGCAGAAATCATCTGTGAAAATACCTTCCTTATATGTATATTCTGTATACAAAGTCAACTTGTTACATTAAGGCTTTATTAGCCTATATAATGAAAGAAGATCAGAACCTGAAATCACTGAGGAATTCAACCACATAGCTGTTATGCCATAAATGTTGGATTTATTCTGATGTAATCAACTTTAAATGGTCTACAACATATAATAGGAATGTAATATTGGAGATTAATGTAGATATTGTGATTTGATTTCCTAAAGATATCAATCTTATATTAGGTGTCTTGTAATACAAGTAAGATTGATGGAGTTCTTGTTTTTATGTGATTATGATAACTAACTGATAGGCTAAAAAAGTGGGATTCGGGATTCCTTTATGGATGGAACCTTAATGCCTTAGCCAGTATAAATACTAAGGTCCCTGCAAATCCTAGATACACAACAAACGCTTCCCATAAAGTAGTTGTATCCGGCTAGGTGCTTTGTAGAAGACTTTGGTGTTGCCGCATCCTACATCATCTCCGCTTGGTATTCAATGGCTATTGCTTCACGATCAGGTCAATCAACTCTTGTTTGTGTTTTAATTATATAAACACATAAAGTTTACATGTGGTACCAGAGCCTCTGGTTATATAATTAAAACCTATTAGGTTTAATATTGGATTACATAATATTCTCATGAACTGCGTGTGTTTAATCCAAGTTGTGATTGCATATGCTTGGCAACAGCACCATGCCGGACCTCCTTGAAAACGGGATCAGTACGTTTCCGCATATAGTTGCATATACTTGGCATATTAATATGATATGCACAGCACATATTTTGCATCAGTTCCTATTTGGTCTTAGAGACCGAAATTATCAGTTAAATAAAACGATTACATAATTGGATAATCTGTTTCTACGAGTGGTGTCTCTTGAGTTCAAGTTTTGCTTCCACCGCCACCACCCTTCAAAATTTCAAACCCAAACGTGGGCCTTTATTTTAATTGAAGCGCTTAATGATGATATTGAATTAACTATAAGAAAGAAAGATTGAAATAGTTAGTTCATTATTTTATTGAATTAGTTTTAATTGGAAGACTTGGTGCTTTAGGCTTCCTATTTCAATGTTCATGTTAATGTTTTGGTTCAATTGAAATAGTCATGTGTTCTAACTTTGCGCTGGATAATTTTTTGAGATGATCAGTGAGCCCAATGAGGAGGTTCATATATGCATCGGCATATGAGATCCTGTATGAATTAGTTTTAATATGGCATGCTTTAAGTTTTCTATTTCGACTTACATGCTAATGGTTTTGGTTGAATAAATTTAGTGACAGATACAACCCCTTTCGGCTAATGTCGTTGTCAATTTTGTAAGCATATGCAAATATATACTTTTGTTCTGACCTTGCCAAGGAATATTGATGAAGCGTCTCAACTCAGCAAGCTCGATAAAGTCCTCTATCAAAGCGAATGGTGTTGATCATTATATATGTCAAAGTACGAAACAGTCGATCATACATATGGTTAGTTTTGATTATTAAGTTTTGAACTTGATAATTATAACAAAGAGAAAATATATGCTTTGAACATGATAAATTCTTATTTGCATATGAAAAGCCTACCGAGAAGCATATGTAAATATGCATAAATTATTTTACTTGTTTTTTAGACTATATTATGTCAAAATAGTCTGGGGGTTTCGGCACTAGTACATGAGTAAGTCTATTGGTCTATTTTTCATGGGTAATATAAATTCATGAAAATATTTTCAATCAGTTGTGTTACATGATAATGTGTAGGAAATATATATAGACCGAATGTAATAGCCATGTCATTGATTGTTGTTGGAAATAATCAATATGGATTAAAATTTTAAGTTTTGCAAACATGTAGTAAAATGACATATGGCATATTTCTTTTTAAGGGGATTGGATTGTCCTATATTGCTTGAGATGATCCTATGCAAAGATACAACAATATGATAAATCTGGCAGATTAGCACTAATAATGCAGTAAAATTATTGTTATGTCCAGAATATATACACTATGTACTCGTACTTGGCTATGACTGGGGATTAATTCAAGTAATGTTTAAAGTCATATTAACTCCATTAGGAATTTGCATGACTAACCAAAATTAGTTTTGTCTACAATTTTGCTTTCTTATCTCAGTATAGTCATTTAATTGTACATGACTAGTTAACTATGAAATTGATGCATAACTTGTGAATTGACTGAGAGTGACAGAAAACATTTGGTGGCAAGAACAAGAATATTATGCAAATGAATGAGGTTTGCAGTAATTATGTGACATTCTCATTTGTATTTTATCTATTTATATGAGAATTGTGGTTGGTCATGTGATTATATATATGTTTATAAAGAAGTGGTGAACATATGAAGGCATGTATTTCATTTAAAGCATATGACTAAATTGATAAGCATAAGTTTTCAAACTTGTATATAGTTTGTTAGTTTTTCCTGTGCCTAAAGAATTTAAACAATGTTTTGATCAGTCAATCGTTTTGTGCCGTAAGGGGATAAGAAAATAAATTATTCAAGGCTAATATATGGAGTCTTGTACTACGGAAAGAAAGGCACAAAAAAGAACCCGTTTGACTTAAGAAAGCATTTAGGTGATATCACAATTTGGCTTTTGAATTAAAGCGATGGTATTGTTTAAAGTGTTTCTATTTTGAATCTATTAGCTCCATCACGTTCTCTCATACGTATTGACATCCTTGTGGTGGAAGAATGATATTACAGTTCTTATACAACTTGTTCTATATGTTATTAATCTCTTTCAAGTATGTTGTCAGGTTTCTTGAGATTAATTGAATATCGAATGGAGTGATGAAGGAGATTATTAAATTAAAGCTATTTGTTGGCAAGACTTGAAGCTTGAATCAGGTTATCATAATTTTGTCACTTACAGCTAATTAATCCATGTGACGTTTGTATTGTTTCAGGCTGGAGATGATCAATGTCTTGTCAACTAAGCAAGCTGTAGTGGCTTAGTTGATGCTGGGACTGTGGTTTTAAGTTACTTCGATCAACATTGCATCTTAATTAGAATAAAAGGGATAATCTTCTTGCCCATAGGTGTGGATTGTTTCCCTTGTTTTAATTAAGATGGCATAGTATGGGTTTTCTTTCCCAGGAGTTTGTGAAAACTTCATCTTGCTCGTAGGTGTTGAAGTTTTTTTATGAAGGTAACTCTTGTGACATATAATTCAGTACTAGAAACTATTTAATTTGCTTGCCCGTAGGTGTAAATTAATCTAGTTTCATGAAGTTTATTGGAGATAAAGTTCCATGCCATTAGTTACAAAATCCCACTATGAGCCCCATAATAGGTTGTGGTTTTAAGGCATGGAAATCAGTTGCATCATGACGTATTTTGTGTCTCTTCATGAGACTTGTTGATACAAAGTATTGGACCCATGAAGGTTAATCAAGGATTGCTACGGTACACATTATTTAAGTCTTATGCTTGTAAATCTTTTCAATTTGAAGTATGATGTCATTTTAGATGATGAAATTTGACTACTAGAGTTTCCTTTGGACATCGAAATTGAAATGATATGAAATTGAATTTGTTATGGATGTATAAATTCGTGATAGATGCACATAATTGTTTCTGGCAGATTGCGTGTCTTGATTTAAATCGGTTGAATAACACGTCTAATGGTCACCAAATGACCTGAATTTTTGATATGTTCAACATATATATATATATATATCTAATATGTGTCTAAAAAGTTTTGTAAATTTTTTCCGTGTATTGTAATTCTGGTGAATTTACTAGTAACCCATGCTCGTATAGACAGTTTTGCTGGTAGATTGTTTTTATCTTTTGAGACGTCACTTTAGACAACTATTTTGACCTAAACGGCTCTATATTTTTATTTTATGAAGATTAGTATGTCTATTTTGATCTATAAAATTTTGGTAGCAATTAAGCTTGTAAATTAATTATGATATCTAAAGTAAGTGTAACTCATTGCTGAAATTCTATTTGATAACTTTATGTTGGTTGTGATGTCTAAAATATGAAGCAAATTTGTTTAGGTACATCCTTGAAAGAATATATGAATGAGTGTTTGCCCAAGTGGGAGAATTAGTGAAAGAAAATTGGGCTTCACACTCATTAACTTATTTGCAATAAGTGTATAAACTCTAAAAGTTTAGTGGGAGTTGTTCTAAAGTTTTGAGCATTAAGTGGACTTGCATAAATCTATTAAAGTGTTATTCTATCTTCCATGAATATGTGTTTTGGTTGATGAAATTAGAATTATGTCATGACTCGAATGACAATAATATGTTTAAGTTGCAGAATGAGTACTTGGTGTATGTGTATATTTTTACTTGCAATCATTTGGATGCCTTGATTGGTTATTTGTTAATCTTTAGAAAGATTTTTGAGGCTCATGGGGACTTAGCACAAATATGGAATTATTAATGCAAATAAGATGGTTGTGGGATGCATGGTTTTGTATAAACAGTGATGAATGTCTTAGTTTTACCTTTCATTGAGATTATGCTATTTAAGGTGTTAAGGAAAGGTTAAAGACAATTTTGTAGTGATATGCATTCATTGACTAAGTAAGGGTGTTCCCACAAGCATATTTCAAAAGTATGATTTAAGTAGTGATTTGCAAATTAAGTGACGATGTTGCAAATTAAGTGACGATGTTGCAAATCAATGGGAGCTTGAGTTTCATGTAATTAATGCCTTACATTTGCAGATGACCTAAAAGGTATGTATGGTTGATTGAATCCATTTATTCAGTTTAATCTCCAGTTGGATTCATGTAGTCACATGTTTATGTGTTGATCAATTATCAGATGACGATATATCTGATATCCAGTTAAGCAAATTGCATTTTAAGTCATAAAAGAATGGTTAATCTTCTTGCTCATAGGTGTGGATTAATTCTTTTGGTTTGACTTAAAATGGCATGACATGATTTATATGTTGTATTAATTGTGAGGGTTTTTTCATCTTGCTCATAAGTGTTGAAAATTTTCTCACGAAAGTAATTGATATGGTATATAAACCAGTGTCAAAAACATGTTAATTCATCTTGCTCGTAGGTGTTGAATTAATTATGTTTTATGAAGTTTTGCTTGCAACTGCAGTAGAAGTTTGCATTAAAGAGGACCTGAAATGATAAAAGTTGAGACACATTCATGTAATTAAAGTTCATCTTTGCAATCATAATTTGACTGTGTTTCATGTGGATGAGGATTTTAGCATGTGTGATTATGA